AAACAAATTAATGGCACAGACAAATGCAGTCCACATGTGATCAACTGATAAAAAGACAATGCACAGTATATGTTATACAGTATGTGCCAGAAAACTCATTTTCTTGCTGAAATAAGTGTACAAATATCTACACTATTATGCTCGAGTCTAAACACTGGTAAAGCCTACCAAAGAAAATTGAATTTGTACAGTTATTAGTTCTGGGGGCTACGAAAGTTCAGTTGACATACATCTTCATGAAAAACAAAACTTCAAAAGAAAAACAACTAACAGAATATCAACAATGCTTCAATCACTTTGTCTGGTACAATTATACAGTATGCTGCTATGGACTTGACATTGGTTATGTGTGAAAGATTTGATGTTCCTGTGCTTTACTGTGATTCATAAATCAATCTCGTATGGGCTAAATCACACAACAGACTGCTATAAGCACAGTCTGTCAGACAATAGTACTGATTTTGTGCTTTCATTTAAGGATGTGTGTTTGTACGACAGGTAGGTACTTCCCTTTTCTCATTGTGCACAGTGAGGCTGGCCAACAGAAAACATCTGTCTACCAGGGGTTGAGAAACAACAAGGACATGGAATGAGAATGACATTTAAATAGTTACAATCAGGCAACCTGCCCAAGTCGCAAAGTGAGGGAGACGCAATTCTGCACACCAGAACAATAGAAAAATGTTTATAGAAAACAATTATTCAAATTCAAATCACAACATTTAGTTTTTATCCTACATCCAGCTCAAAAGCAACATTAATATTTCAACAAGATCAATATATATTTTTTAAATCATTTTAAGGTACCTCTTTATATTTTTAGGAGTATTTACAACTGTACAAGCAAAGCACACACTTCAAAGTGCACATATTTGATACAGTATTTACTATTTTGCATTTACAGGATTTATATTTTCCCCAAAACAAACTTAAAATAGGAACTAGAAACAAGGTTAATCAAATTAGATTATTTTCGTACAATTTTACAAAACCAAAAAAAATGCTGCTAGATTTGTACTTTAAGACCTAGTAAGACTTGTGATGTTTGGTATGACTAAACATTTCAATGTGTCACCATTAGTAACATTTTGGGGTTTGAAAAGAAATAAACTCTAAATTGTCTCGTATAAAAGTTAAGGCAAAGTCATTTTCAAGTTTAAATAAAATTCAAGTTTTTCAAACACTGGATGGAAATTATACATTTGTATATATTTTTTCTTAAAAATAAAATGTTTTTATGATCTCTCATGGAATAAACAGCATTGGTTTATAAATAAGCAGATATGGTGAATCATGTCTTTAATATCTCAGAAAAAAACTCAAAAACAAAATCAAAACTCTGCAATTTAAAGACTGCCCACCCAAGTGCATCCCAGTCCTTCAGAATCAAATAATGTTTTTGCAAACCAAAATCAAAAGCAGCAATGACTATCAGTACACGCCATTCTGTGACTTAGGCAATGTCTCCTCTCTCCAAAATGAGACCTCTTTTCTAAGCAGAGTATTCAATGGTAGCTCCTTGTTGCAGGAAGACCTCAATGAGACACTAAAGAAGTGCACAAGTTCCACGTTGTATGTATTTTTGTCTACTTCCACATTTATGCAGAGTACAGAGGGGAATTTGGAAGCTATATGGTTGTTGTATGGAGAGCCAGGAGAAATCTACAGAAGGCATTCTAAAAAGAGAAAAAACATGCTAAAACGAAATATTGAGTGACATCCTGCAGTCATCCGGGGCACTTCTACTGTATGTGAGGGGGGGAAGGAGTTTGAACGACCCAAGAATGCTGCCTCCTCTGCCCAACATCTTCTAGTCCAAACTGAAAGGACTTATCTATAAGCTGCTCAGGTTCACAGTATCCAAACAGGTCAAAGGTCATTCACTGCATGCTCACAGGGTCCAATTTACTACTCTTCTGACTGTCACCCAATGACCAAAGCAATACCTTCTTTCTAAAATGGCTGCCTCATGGTTTACCTTCATGTATAACATTTGTAGTGGAAATAATGTCACACTTCTTTCTTTTAACCAATTCCACTTAATTTTCCCATTTGAGCCACCAGGTGTACACATTCTCTAACGTGTAAACCCACATTACAATTAGCTACTGTAATACTGAATAAGAAGCTGAAACAGCTTCAAAGACACCACGCACCAGTGGTTTCACAAATGACTACCTCAAAAGCAAAACAATAAAATAAACTGCCACTCCAAAAAGATGTCATGGTTAGGTTGTGTGCACAAAATAAAATACCAAGACTAAAGTTGTTATTCTCAGCATGCACGGAAGTATGTCTAGTCTGCATTTACATGGCAGTAAACAAAAAAAGTTTAACTTGTGTGAATTTATCCACATAGAGGTTAATACAATTAGTCAACATTTGAGAGATTCTGAAAGCTGATTATCCTGTCACAACATTTTATAATAATGCACAAGTCAAATGGCAAGAAGACAGTTGAAATCCTTTAGGGAAAAAAAACTCAATTTGTTGTATAACTGACATTTTTAAGGGCTTATGTGACCATCAGACCTTTCCATATTTGTCTTTACATGTTAGGTTACCTTTTGCTTCTGTATGCAGGTAAAATATGGATTTCTTAACAATTAATCCAGAAGCAAAACAAAGTGCAAAGTTTAGTTGACAACGTGTATCAAGTATTATTATCTAAGTACAGTACCAGATTAATTGAAGTAGCAAGTTCCAGGATCATCCTCTAGCTAGCACCATAGCTATCTAAAATAAACCATCCCACTGTTTGAATGAAGTCACTGCACCCTGCCAAAACCCTACTGCCGACTCCTAAATGGTAGCTGAGCACAGGAGGTTGGTTGCACCTTAATTGGTGAGGACGGGCTTGTGATAATAGCTGGAGCGGAGTAGGTGGAATGATATCAAATACATCAAGCACATGGTTTCCATGTGTTTGATGCCATTCCATTTGCTCCGTTCCAGCCATTATTATGAGTCGTCCTCCCCTCAGCAGCCTAGCCTATCCATTGCCAACATATGTGCCCGCTGAACTAGTCTTTGACATGCTTGTTTCACAGCAAAATAGTAGAGAAAGAAAATAGTCTACAAGAGGCACCAATCGACACCATGTGATTAATTTATGGGTCGTTCCACGAAATGATTGCCCTTTGATATTTAAAGTATAAATGGTGCATCAATATTGAATTTTAAAAGTATGTTATATTAAATGAAGTGCCCACATGGAGAATTCAATAAATCTAATTTTTAATATTGAATGAAGACTTGCTTAAAGTGCCTAAATTCAAAATCCCTCCGTGACTTCGATTATTTCAACCCATCATTGTAAAGCCCTAGTTAATTTGTTGCTTTGACTGTCATATCTGAAGATTATTTTTTATTTGTTGTGATTAGTGATTAATTTAGTCTGTCCCTCAATTTAAGGTCAACCCTGTTACGTGAACTGAACTATCATTTTAATATAGTAAAACTATTCCTTTTTAAATATATTTTTTCCTAACTAAACATTGAACATCTAATAGTCAAATCATAGTGTAAAAGCAGGTGAGCTGGTTCTATTCTTTTTGGCCATTTTCTGGTGTTATGTGTTGGAAAACTGAGCGAGTCGAGCTAAACACATCAACCCTGTTACCCATAGATAGACAGGCTAGAAATGTTAACTTAAACATTTTTGTGAAGCTGGCAATCAATTGCCACTCCCTGTTGCACACAGCAAGCTTCCATTCCCCCTTTAAAAATTGGATTTATGGCTGATCTGAAATGAAATTGTCAACCCTGCGACAGTCAATCCTGTTACTTAATTTGGCACCATTTTTTTTATTTAACGTGTTGAGATGGGAAAAAGTGTTAATGAAGTTTTACGTGCTCTTTATGACAAAGTCAATATTAGGTGAACAAAATGTAATTGGACCAAGTTACACATCTCAAAAGGCACCGAATTGGTGGAACGACCCTCATCTGCTATTTTCCGAGATCAAAATACATGTAGATTTCTACTGACCCTGATAGTGCCTCTCAATGAGGACTAACAAACAATGTGCTTTATACGGCTAGGAAACAGACTCCTGCATTGGACAACATTTACCACAAGAAATACTAGATAAAGAAAGTCTAAGGCGCTCTTAAAACCACCAGCATGCAACAACTAGTAGTACTTGTAATAACGATCAAAACCAGTATGCAAATAAACATATTTTCCTCATATGCTGGTGTTATAACGAGATAAAGTGTTCCATGTTGGCAAAAAGGTAATCTAGTTTCGATAAATGACTATGGGTGGTGAAATCCCTCAGAAAGTAGGTCTTCTGAGGATTTCAGTCAAGTCCGTAAAATGAGACTGGACTAGTTGACCTTGAATATGAACGCAATTACGTAAAACACATCAAAGATGCGTCCCTAATGGCACCTTATTCCGTATGTAGTGCACTACTTTTGACCGAAAGTAGTGCACTACATAGGGAGCCATTTGGGACGCAGCCATCATGTCTGACTGACACAGTGATCATCACACCCTGCAATGGAATCACATCACCGCTTAACAAGGCAGCATACAAGACATACAGACATCACCTCACAGTCACAACGAATAACATGGAAACAGCTACTCTGTCATTTATCTGCTTCCTTTCATTCACCTGTTGTTGGCTTCCACTGATGACCTATCTACTCGCACAATACTACCTTGGAAAGTAGTTCAGACATATTAATTAATCCCACTAATCTGAACAGGAGTACGTTTTCGGATTGACACTAAATAATGAAGAAAAAATATGAAAAAAATAAACCCTCCAAAAATAAATATGTAAAAATTATTAACGGTGCTCTATATGCACATTAAAGTGCTATTGTCTGCAAGCCCTGATCCAGAAAGGTGTCCTCTCTATGCTGTGAATGACTGGTGATTTTGGAATAGGTTGTATTTGAATAGCCCTGACTTTTTTTCAGATTTCTTTCTCCCTCACGTGTTTGTTGTGAAATTGACTTGATTGCAGTGGGGGAGGGGGTTACTGCGGGGACTTTGGGGGGGTGTTGAGATCTTTGCTGCTGGGACCCTTCCCTGGGTGGTGGGGGGATGGGGAAGGCCACCGGCCGGTCGGTCTCCGGACCTCTCGGGGTCTGCCTGGGGTGGCTGGCTTGGAGGAGCCTGGGTATGTCTCTCTGGGGACCTTTGGATCACCCCTGTCCCCTGGGGCTGCGTCAGTGCACTTCCTCTCCTCTCCTGCGGAGGCAGCGCTGCTGGCTGGCTTGGCCTCTTTAGGGGCCTGTAGTTTCGGAGCGTGGTCTTTAATCCTCTGGCAGATCTCAGCGTAAGAGGGCTTTCGCAGTTCCTAACCACAAAACGAAATCTATATTTGTAGGTGATTCATTTCATAGGACTTTGACTATGCCCACTGGTTTGACACACATTAAAGTAAAAAAAAAAAAGATGATTATTACCAACCACAAATCAGTATCTACAGGTAAATGCTAAAATAATGGAAACACTTGAGTAAATGAGGGACACAAAGTATATTAAAAGCAGGTGCTTCCGTACATGTGTGGTTCCTGAGTTAATTAAGCAATTGACATCCCATCATGCTTAGGGTCGTGTATAAAAATGCTGGGCAGGTAATTATTTTGGCTACCATGGCTATGCCCCAACAGGATGACAATGCCGCCATCCACAGGGCACGAGCGGTCAATGAATGGTTAGATGAGCATGAAAACAATGTAAATCATATGGCCGTCTCAGTCACCAGATCTCAACCCAATTAAACAATTATGGGGAGATTCTGGAGCTGCGCCTGAGACAGCGTTTTCCACCACCATCAACAAAACAACAAATGATGGAATTTATTGTGGAAGACTGGTGTCGCATCCCTCCAATAGAGTTCCAGACACGTGTAGAATCTATGCCAAGGTGCATTGAAGCTGTTCTGGCTCGTGGTGGCCCAAAGCCCTATTAAGACACTATGTTGGTGTTCCCTTTATTTGGGCAGTTACCTGTATCTCTGACTACCAAAAAATCTTTATCAGCTAATAATATAAAAAAATGCACCTGGTTATGTTTAAATGCTTTAAACAGCTTTGGTGAACCAGTACTTACTGTAGCAGTACCATTGACTTGAACAGATTTGCTAGCGGTGTACAGAGTGGTAGTGTCCCGCTCGAGAGAAACCTGAGTCTCCTTCTGATTCACCTCCAGAACCTTCACTTCCCTGAAAAACAAACATATTTACATCACACAATGATGTGAATGACAAGAAATGCTGCTGAGTCAGTTAAGTTCTCTCTCTACACAAATTCAGTTTTGACAACTATGGTGTGTCATGTTTTCAAATGGGACACACTGACAAGGAAATAGAGAGACAAGGGTGAGACAAAAGATATGCATGAGATGAAGCACACTGCTCTGTTTTTCTATACAAATCGTATGATATTAGTGGGGGTATGCTTACACGTTTTGATGGTGGGGGGGAATAGGGTTTTTGAACCAAAGTGTTATATGAAGGGAAACACGTGTGTCCTATACTCACTCTGCGGGTTGGGAGGGAACAGGGACAGGGGCAGAGGATGGTGCTGGTTTCGGGGGAGCAGCGGGCTGGAGGCTCGGGGGCTGTGGAGAAATGACCGTCCTTAGTGGCTCCTTGGGTCCTCCTGAGGGGAGGGCACCTGGAGAGCTGGCATCAACGCTTACATTCTGGAACGGAACGACACAAAAATACATGAAAAACAATACTACTAACGGCAAAGCTGAATTGTTGAGCTGTGTGATTGAGCATGGTGGCTTGGAGATAAGAGCTTGGCTGAGTCCCAATTGGCACCATATTCCCTGGTCAAAAGTCTATGGGCCGTGGTCAAAAGTAGCACACAATATATGGAATAGGGTGCCATTTGGGACACAGGTGCCTTTTGGGACACACCCTGAGTATGGTGGCCTGGAGATGAGAGCTTGTGTTGGTAGATACTGACCCTGTCCTTTGTGGTTACTATTACCATGCTGGCCAGTCTGTTCTCAAACATGTCTTCAGGGGTTTTGAGGTGGCCTGTGGCCCCAGGCAGCGGGGGGAAGCTGGAGAGCCCCAGCTCAAAGCTGGGGGACGGGGGCTTCTGAGGAGGGGGTGGCGAATGGGTAGCAACTCTCTATACAACAGAACAGCATCAAACACACCAGAGTCAGCACAATGCAGTGAGTCAGTCACAGAGTAAAGACTGCGTCCCAAATGGCACCCTATTCCCTTTATAGTACACTACTTTTGACCAGGGCCTATAGGGGTTAAAAGTAGAGCACCATATAGGGAATAGGGTACTATTTGGGACACCCACAACACCAACCAGCACACTGTACATACACCTGCAATATTGAAATTCAGTCACTGCCTGAAAAGCTTGCAGCATCAGCACTGATGGCTCTTTCTCAAAGTCAAAGTGGAAAGAAACGTACTTACTGTAAACTTGTCTTCCCTCTTTTTCCTAGAACCATAAATATTTGTCCTTTAAGAAAGAAAATATTTTAAAAATTCAGACATATTTCTACTCTATTTGAAGCATTACAGAGATTTTAACAATTCAAAACTTGGGCACCATGCTCGCTTTCTTGTAATACTATAATGTGTCCCAAATAGCACCCTATTCAGTGCACTACTTTTGACCAGAGCCCTAATGGCCCTGGACAAAAGTTGTGCACTAAATAACAAATAGGGTACCATTTGGGACACATCCCACGGATGTATATGGTGGTGATGATCATGCAGATAGTGGAGGATACCTTACCTTCCCCGGGCCATGCCCAGTGAGTAGTCGGTGCTGACGGGCTCCACCCGACCCGTACTGATGTCCCTCCTGGGGTAGGTCATGGTGGAGTGGGGTAACCTGGTTCTGTTCTGGCTCGGGAGCCGCGTCATTTGGGAAGAACCCCGGGGCACCCCGTTTAGGATACGCTCCGTGGGGAAGTTGAAGATGGTGGGGCTGTCTAGGAGCCCTGTGCCGCGCTGGTCCACGTTGGGTATTGTGGGCCTCAGGTGAGGTTTACTGTGAGTGTGATTCCTGAAAAGAAACCAGAAACACAACCGGTCAATATCATATTCAAAGATCATATCTATACAAGCACAGCAATCTAGAATTCTGGGCCCATATTCACAAAGACTCTCAAGAGTAGAAGTGCTAATATACAGTGCATTCGGAAAGTATTCACACCCCTTGACTTTTTCCACAATTTATTACGTTACAGCCATATTCTAACATTGATTTAAATCTACACACAATACTACATAATGACAAAGCAAAAACAGGTTTTTAGAAATTTTTGCAAATGTATTAAATATAAAAACAGAAATATCAAATATACATAAGTATTCAGACCCTTTACTCAGTACTTTGTTGAAGCATCTTTGGCAGCGATTACAGCCTCAAGTCTTCTTGGGTATGTCGCTACAAGCTTGGCACACCTGTATTTGGGGAGTATCTCCCATTCTTCTCTGCAGATCCTCTCAAGCTCTGTCAGGTTGGATGGGGAGCATCGCTACACAGCTATTTTCAGGTCTCTCCAGAGATGTTCAAGTCCGGGCTCTGGCTGGGCCACTCAAGGACATTCAGAGATTTGTCCGGAAGCCACTCCTCCGTTGTCTTGGCTGTGTGCTTACGGTCGTTGTCCTGTTGGAAGGTGAACCTTTGCCCCAGTCTGAGGTCCTGAGAGCTCTGTACTTTGCTCTGTTCATCTTTCCCTTGATCCTGACTGGTCTCCCAGTCCCTGCCGCTGAAAAACATTGCCACAGCATGATGCTGCCACCACCATGCTTCACCGTAGGGATGGTGCCAGGTTTCATCCAGACGTGACGCTTGGCATTCAGGCCAAAGAGTTCAATCTTGGTTTCTCATGGTCTGAGAATCTTTAGGTGCCTTTTGGCAAACTCCAAGCGGGCTGTCATATGTATTTTACTGAGGAGAGGCTTCCGTCTGGCCACTCTACCATAAAGGCCTGATTAGTGGAGTGCTGCAGAGATGGTTGTCCTTCTGGAAGGTTCTCACATCGCCACAAAGGAACTCTGGAGCTCTGTCAGAGTGACCATCGGGTTCACCTCCCTGATCAAGGCCCTTCTCTCCCGATTGCTCAGTTTGGCCGGGCGGCCAGCTCTAGGAAGAGTCTTGGTGGTTCCAAACTTCTTCCATTTTAGAATGATGGAGGCCACTGTGTTCTTGGGGACCTTCAATGCTGCAGAAATTTTTTTGTACCCTTCCCCAGATCTGTGCCTCGACACAATCCTGTCTCAGAGCTATACGGACAATTCCTTCGACCTCATGGCTTGGTTTTTGCTCTGAAATGCACTGTGGGACCTTATATAGACAGGTGTGTGCCTTTCCAAATCATGTCCAATCAATTGAATTTACCACAGGTGGACTCCCATCAAGTTGTAGAAACATCTCAAGGATGATTAATGGAAACAGGATGCACCTGAGCTCAATTTCAAGTCTCATAGCAAAGGGTCTGAATACTTATGTAAATAAAGGTATCTATTTATTTTATTTATAAATTTGCAAAAATTCTTATGGGGTATTGTGTGTAGATTGATGAGAAAAAAATAATAATTTACTCAATTTTAGAATAAGGCTATAACATAATAAAATGTGGAAGTCAAGGTGTCTGAATACTTTCCGAATGCACTGTATATAGAATCAGATTTACTTTATATAAGAGGGAGGAACAGATCCTAGATCAGCACTCCTTTTGTGAGATGCTTTGTGAATACAGGCCCTGGTTCATAGTGTACATTAGATGGTGAGGGTCAGTGTACCCACCTATTCCTGGGAGAGTAGTGCCTAACACCAGCAAGAGGAGACGTCGCTGGTTTAAAACTATGGGATGTTGTAAATCCATTGATAAATTGAGTGTTGTGAAATGGTGTAACCTGTTAGACAAGGAAACACAAAATCAATGACTTTTACAAGAGTTCTAGCAGCATATTATACAGTGAAATTATGAATGGTCTGTATTGTAGCCTTGTGGGTGGTAGGTTTGCAAAATCCCAGTAACTTTCCAAAAATGTCCAGGTTTGCCAGAAATCCCAGTTGGAAGATTCCCGGAATCAGGAGGGAAAAAAGCAGGACATCTGTGAATCTTCCAACCAGACTTTTGGGAACGTTACTGGAATTCTGCAACCCTATTCTGCATTTTAGGTTTTTAGGTGTGTGCGCGCGCCTGCTGTCCTCACCAGTGAAGGGTCTATGAAGCTGTGAGTGGCTGACCAGGCCTGTGGAGTGATGAGGCTGTAGAGGGGGAACTGCTGCTGGGGGCTGTACACTGGAGGTATGTAGTAGGAGGTGTAACGTTGTTGTTGCTGCTGCTGCTGCACATAAGGGTTAACCTCCACTGGGCGGTAGCCATTTTTTGGCATAAAAGTGTTGATAGCGATTGCCTTCGCCTTTATCCGTGCCTGAGATTGGGGTTGAGAATTGAGAGAGAAAACTGATTTTTCCTCAAAAACGAATCTGCTGAGTAAGCATTTCAAAGCGGTGCAGATTTTTCATAAAAAGCCACATTTGTCTGAGGTATTATGTCACGTCATCACTAAATGATCCCATACAACAACTGCAGATTGAATTATGTTATCCACTGGGGGAAAGCATTAGTTTTGGTTGGTTGTTATGTTGACGGAAAAAGGTTACCTGAACCACCATACTTGGAAATACTCCAGAATTTACAGTATAGTATACAGTGTATGGGTCATGTTCATATTAACTTTACATTAACTTAAATTAAACTAATTAATTAATTAGCTTACCTTAATAGGCTTCCCTTGGAAGGTTTTCACTTCTTCACGAAGATACTGATATGCCTGGAAAATAGGAAACACAGCAGGAAATATGTTTCTGTTTTTATACCCACGGACGTAAGCTCAAGGCCAGTATGAAACACTATGGTAGCAATTAGCAATTGTACATCAGACCACCAAACCCATAGCAGGGCAGTTAGTTCCAGTTAGCAGGGCAGTTTCACTGAACAGTCCTACAATCCTAAAACATGACATGATGTGCAAGGAAAAGGTTGCTTTATGCACCATTACTAAATCAAGCGCTATAAGCATACAATGGTGCAACATTCCAGAATGTTCCTGACCTGTTGTGCATCTGCTTCCGATTCGAAGGTGATGAACCAGTTGTCGTTGTAGGCAAACTCAGAATTGATGAATTTAGGTAAGTTCTCTCCTTTAAAAAGAGCCTCGACCTCCTGCAAAACAAGAGCAAATGTCAAGCTTAACGCCAAAACTCCTTAGATACTGTGGACAAGTTCCTGGTTTCGATTGAATAGGGTGGTTTAGCTGTCTTTATTATTTTTATTTAACTAGGCAAGTCAGTTAAGAACAAATGCTTATTTACAATGACGGCCAAACCCGGACGACGCTGGGCCAATTGTGCGCCGCATTCGTAAGAATCTGGCGCAATGCTATTTCAGCACTCTCTCCTCCCACTCATCTCTATCCTATATAATAAACAAAAAATACGAGAGGAGTGGGCCCTATCAATGTCACATTTTGTCAATATTCCCCGATGGGAGTGCAGTTCAGACTGAAATAACACCATTAAAAATGTTTTGAATTCTAAACTGCTAAAAACAGCACCCTATAATTTGTCACACAGCATGACATTTGATGACATGGTACTGGCACATTTGATGCACAATAGATGATACCTCTAAACACTAGATAAACAAAACATGCCATTACCATTACTTTACCAAAGTCAAACAACAGGGTATCTATAACATGGCTAGGAGAAAGGTGTGCAAACAAATAATTGACGCAGAGACAGGTTTTACACCATTCCAGGAAATGTTTACGATTCCAGGAAAACAACTCTTAGAAAATATTAGGAAATGACCTACAATGCCCTGGTTAAAACACACATACAGCCTAGACACATAAGAGCTTGTACTAGAATGACCTAATCTTCCTAAAAACCTGTGATTTCGTTCCACTTTCTGCCATACTGGATACAGTCAGTATGTAATACATGGTTTCTTATGCCATAATATCAGGGTGCAGTTGGACCTGCAAACTGTATTGCTGGGGGATTTGAAGGATCAGTCAGTCAACAGGAAATATAATTGTGCTCTTGGGTAAAATGTTTATTTTGGGGAAATTTCGGCAGAAATGTTGCAGATGGGGAGGTTCAAGTCCTTAGTGAGACACCATGGGAGAATGGAGGGATGTATTGTGAGAGGAAATGGTAGGATGATGATTTATTGGGAAAGATGGGTTGATCTGTGGCTGTCTGAAGGGTGGAATTGATGAGTGTTAGAATAATTATATGCACAAATGTACAGTATAAATGTTTGAGGTCATCCAATCAGGGGTGGAGATGGGATTATTGTATGTTTTGCGTTTCACTATTTATGTTTTGGTTTCATGCTGTGGTGCGTGTGTTGGTCCTGGTAGTTATGGGTGCGCTCAATTCCATGCCCGCCCCGGCGTCGGGTGGGACTTGGTTTTTCCCACACTTGGAAAAACCATTTGGGCCGGGGGCAGGGCCTTGCCTTGCCGGCGTCTCGGGGAGGGTGGGGTGAGCGCACCCACTGACCACAACTCCCACTGATGGGAGAGCCCATTTATATTGTCATTGTATTGCATTGTTGTTTTAAAGAAAATAATTCTAAAACATTTTTTAAATGCATGGTTTGTTTAGCAGATGGTCTAGACTGAAACTGTGTCCCAAATGACACCCTATTCCCTATGTGGTGCACTACTTTTGACCAGAACCCTAAGGACCCTGGTCTAAAGTAGTGCACTATATAGGGAATAAGGTGCCATTTGGGACGCAGCCAGAGGCTAGCCAGAGGCTAGCCAGTGAACATACCTCTATGGGAGTGCTCTCAGGGACCTCTCTGAGGATAACGATGCAGCGGTTCTGGTTGGGTCTCACCTTCTCCCCCTTCTCATCTACCTGGACCAACGGCAGAGCTATGGAGGCAGGGAAATACAGAAGTCCAGTGCATTTATAATCAAAATCTAAATTTTATTGCCATCTAAATTTTGCTAGGAATTGGTGTTGTACACAGCAAGGTTAACTGATACAACTGAAATCCATAACACAAATTCTCTAAGTAAAATGAAACATCCATTCCCAACAATGTCTCTTTAGTGTCAACAATAGATGCTATTAGTAACAAGTAAAATGTGAAAAAGTTCAGTAAACGTTAATAGTCTCCAGTAAAAGAAAATAAAAAAGGTTGTCACTTACATCGTAGGATATCAACGATCAACTCCACGTCTGTGCTGAGTTTCTTGACGTGGTCCAGGTTAGCAACTGTCACGATTGGCACATATTGGTCACTATCCATCTGAGAGATAAGGTACATGTCGCTGGACAAGTTCTCCCTGAGAGATAAGACAAAAAAGTGAAGTCACTCCCTTTAGCCTAAGTCTCTCCTCCCTCCCCACAGCACCCACCAGTGAGCTTTCATTTAGAGCACGCCTTCCACAAAAGGCAGAAGAAATAACTAATTGCAACATCATAGCAACATATTTCACTGGCTGTATTCTAGCATGGGCAGCACTTGATCACTACCAACAAAAATTACGGCCTGGGATCGACAAATATGGGGAAGAGCATAACAAATGAATCTCCTAGTTACAGTACCTCCCCTCAGAGTCAATTAAAGTTCTGTCTGGCGGGTTCTGTATTCTGTAATGGCAGAGCTGCGCCCCTGTGCTGCTCGACTGTAGTTTATATGGTTGCTGCATTATTGGCTATATTGTAGTAGACAATGCCTGTGTCCCAAATGGCACCCCATTTCCTATTTACAGGGGTTAAAGCAACAACAAAAAATCCCATGACTGACACTGACAGATCGATTCTCTGGGGCCAAGTTAACCTCCCCTTTCATGTAAAAAAGTCATGAACCTCATGCTTTTAGGGAAAGGGGATCATTTTGTACATTTTGCGAGTTTAATCAATTCCAGTCCTTTTCAATATTGGAAAAAATACAATTCATTTGATGGAAATCCACTGCAGCGACTGACCTTTAACCCCCTGTATATAGTGTACTACTTTTGCCCAGGGCCCATTGACCAGAGCACTATTGGGTCTGGTCAAAAGGAGTGCACTATATAGTGAATAAGGTGTAATTTGTGACACAGCCAGTGTGTAATATGGCTGTTACTCACCGGGACAGACAGAACTCCAGGGTCTTCTTCAGGTGTTCCCGGAGGTCCTCCTGAGGGCTCTCCTGCTGGGGCTCACTGCCTGCTCGTCACACAGGGGGAACAGACAAGACAACACTCAGTCAGTCATTCACTTTCATGACATGAGACCATTCATTTCATTACACGCAGTACCGTGTAGGCTATTACTGTAAAATACCTGTGCTACAGGAAACTCTATAGGTTGTTTAAGTTCCAACAAAATCACTGATGCATATTGTACATTTCTAATATTCTAAACACAATGTTGCAGTGAATTCGGAATACCATTTGTATTAGGGGTGTGCCTAGTAGTCGGACAAAACAAGTATCGTAAAGGATATGGGCAGTTTTCCTGATTTCTTATATTTATTATCCCCCCCCCCCAAAAAAAATAAATAATAATTTGCGGGTGCCAGAGCGCATCTTTCAATCAAGTGCGAGGTGCTACGTGGTCTAAATCAGTGTTTCCCAACCCTGGTCCTCCTGTACCCCCAACAGTACACGTTTTTGTTGTAGCCCTGGACAAACACACCTTGTTCAGCTCATTTAGGGCTTGATGATTAGTTGACAAGTTGAATCAGGTGGCTTGTCCAGGGTTACAATACAAATGTGTACCATTGGGGGTACTCGAGGTACCAGGGTTGGGAAACACTGATCTAAATAACTCAACTGGCTAGTTTTCCTGTCTGTAAAGACAGGGCGGGCTGTACATGGATCCTGCTGCTCTGATTTGATAGAGCGAAGCTGTATTTCTCTGTCCACTCACTTAGTTTCTTAATTTCACCCAATCACTTCTCCTCGCATGTTTCGGTCTGATCTTTTAGATTGCTGCGGCCTCTTGTTAGCCTAATACTATGATAAATCAAATGGCGAGGACGTTTGCTAGCTAGCAAGCTATCAATGTGCATAATATCTAACAAGCGGGTAGGGAAAAAAGATTAACAGGCGATGCACATTCTGACAGAACGCAAACTTGTCTATCCGACCCGCTGCTAGTTGAGGAGACAGACACCCCTCCACGCGCTGTTCCTAATCTGCAGCTTTTTTTGGTCTAAAAACATCCAGGGAGATCAGTGTATCTACTTAGGCATAATAAAACACTTCAGTTTTTTCCGATCAAGAGTATTATCCGATCCGACTATCAACTGTAAATTTACGGATACAGGTATCCTGTGTCTTTTTCCTCTCCTTCTGCCCTAATCACAGGTGTCCTTTATGTTCCTGATTGGTGGTCGTTGGGGATGTCCCACCTGTCCAACATCCGTTGGTCTGCTGATTGCTGAGGTGGACCTATCAGTGGACATTCCTCTGTATTGCACCACCTGTTTCTGGTTTCCCACTTACACCTCCCATTGTTTAAAAGCCAGTCAGTTGTGTTTGTAGAGAGAGACTATTTTCCGTATGTGAGTATGGATACTGTGGTGTCCTGTGTTTTGTGTACTCACTCATTTGCTGGTTACTCTGTTTGGTAACTTTGTTGTGTGTTTCTGGGAAAAGGGGGATTTAAGCAAGTTGCCCTTGGGCATACATTACCCGTAGGAAGAAAACTGTCTAAAAACACTAGATAGACCTGAGCGGACCACCCACTGTAATTTTTGTATGATTAGCAGTAGCTTAGCGGTTCTTGAGGCAGGCAAGATCAGTTTAGTTTTTTTTTTACACTATTGTTTCCTTTCTTGGGTCCTGCTCAGCCCCTTTTCCCAAACCTTTACCGTGCGTTCAAAAATAAACCTTTTATGTTTGACGGTAGTTTATGGTTGTCGTGTAGTTTTTGTTCACACTGTTTCCATGTCACGATTCTAATTTGCATGAATTATGTTACGGGTCTCTTGTCCATCCATCCTAGACGCGTAAAGCCACGGGGTTCGTAACATAATGTGGGGGCTCGTCCGGGATCACTCATTGATACCCATGCTACTTGGGGTTCGTAACATAATGTGGGGGCTCGTCCGGGATCACTCATTGATACCCATGCAAATTAGTTAGTGTCTGGCTCAGTGTTGAGCTTGGCAGCTGTAACTAACTGGTTTTGTGTTCAGTATTCGTCGGCTCGTGTTGCTAGTTTAAGATGGCTACTTTTGAGTTGGATGCCTTTTTGGAAAACCCTACGTGGGAGGTTTTTGAGAATTGCCGTAGAGTGGATCTACAGGCTTTGGCTGACCACTTTTCTGTACCCATAAAGGGTTTTAGTGAAAGCAGAAGTTAGGAAAACAGTGTTAGAGATATTGTTGAACGAGCGAGTGCTTGAGTTACCGCCGCCTGAGTCTGCTGCTCCTGTAGGGGATGTGGCTGCTGCTCCTGTAAGTCCGTCGGTGTCTGAGGACGAGGCTAAGGCTCCAGCCACATTGCCCCGTTTTGACCCACTCTCCCCACTGTCTGACAGTGATGCCAGGATGGATGTCCGCTCCACACGGCTCCAAATGGAGGCGGAAGAGAGGGCACAAATCAGGCAAGACAAGCTGGAAACGCGTAAGCTAGAGGCAGAACAGGAGACGCGTAAGATGGAACTGGAGACGCGTAGGCTTGATCAAGAACTGGAGACGCGTAGACTTGATCAGGAACTAGAGATGCGTAAACTGGAACTGGAGGCAGAAACCGCGAGGTTAGTCTCTGAACATACTATGCCTGCTAGTGAGCCATCCTCACCAGCTGTGTCGTCTGCTACTGTTGATATTAGTAGACAGATCACCTTGGTACCTGTGTTTAGGGAGTCAGAGGTTGATTCCTATTTCAGTGTTTTTGAACGTATAGCGGTAGCATTGAAATGGCCCGAAGAGGTATGGTGCCTATTACTTCAGTGTAAATTAACAGGTAAAGCCCAAGAGGTTCTGTCAGCGCTACCTCTTGAAGACAGCTTCAATTATGACGTGGTCAAAGCTACTGTTCTTCGTGCCTATGAGCTTGTTCCTGAGGCATATCGACAGAGATTTAGGTCTCATAAAAAGTATTCTACTCAGACTTATGTGGAGTTTGCTAGAGACAAAGGAAATCAGTTTGACAAATGGCACAGTGCTAGTAAGGTAACTGATTTTAACTCTCTACGGGAGTTAATCTTGTTAGAAGAGTATGAAAATTGCTTACCCGAACGCATTTTAGTTTATCTGAACGAACAGAAAGTATCCTCACTGTCGGAAGCGTCTGTATTGGCAGACGAGTTTGTGTTGACGCATAAGAGCGTGTTTTCGGCTCGTACGGAGAGCAGGGCCGCGGAGTTGCTAACTTTTAGTCCTAGTCGACCAGCAGTACATCCAGCACGCCCAAAAGATGTGCGTCACTGTTTCTATTGTCATAAGGTGGGACATATGGTTAATGATTGCTTTCTGCTAAAACGCAAACAGGGGATGCCTCAGCACGCCAGGCCGCCAACGGGTGTTGGGCTGATTCGTACAGTTGTAAGGCCGGAATCAAGACAGAGGCCTCATAGTGAATGTGGTTTGAAAGTCCCTGTCCCAGATCACAGTTATGAACCGTTCATTTTTTAGGGGTTTGTTTCCATATCAGATGATGAAGCGTCTCAGCGTCCAGTTAGAATCCTCAGAGATACTGGTGCGGCGCAGTCGTTCATACTATCTGATGTGTTGCCCTTGTCCAATAATACATATTGTGGTTCCAGTGTGTTAGTACAAGGAATTGAAATGGGATTCGTCCCCGTGCCATTGCACTTTGTGAACGTACACTCTGAGTTAGTCAGTGGATTGTTCAGAGTTGGAGTAGGTCCTATGTTGCCAGTAAAAGGTGTGACATTTATAATGGGCAACGATATTGCTGGAGGAAAGGTGATACCCGTATTGGAGGTATTGGATAAAAGTGACCAGTCTCTCTCCGAGGAGCTGGCACAGGGTTATCCAGATGTGTTCCCCGCTTGTGCTGTCACACGTGCTCAAGCACGACAAGTGGGTGACGTGATAGATTTGTCGAACACGATTCTATTCAGAGTGTGACCCAGAGGATAGCTTGGGTGTTACCTCTGGTAAGCTGGTGCAGTCTGACCAACAGCCCAGGGAAAGGAAGAAGTATGTGGAACTTGTTGCTGAGGCAATACAGTTACCAGTCACTCGTGAGCAGCTGATCGCTAACCAGAAGGTTGACATTAGCCTGGCTAAATGTTTTTCTAGTGTTGTCTCAGAGGAGGAGCTAAAGAAGAAAAACCTGGCATACTTTATTGATGGTAATCTCCTCATGCGTAAATGGACATCCCATGTTGACGCTGGCGGAGATTGGAATGCTGTTTACCAAATAGTGATTCCTACAGCCTTTCGACAAAATGTTTTATCCCTCGCTCATGATCACCAGTGGTCCGGACATCTGGGAGTCACCAAGACTTATGATCGGGTTTTGCGACATTTCTTTTGGCCTGGTTTAAAACAAGATGTGGCTCAGTTCTGTCGGACTTGCCACACCTGTCAAGTAACTGGGAAACCGAACCAGGTTATTTCCCCCGCGCCTCATTGTCCCATACCGGCCATAGGTGAACCATTCGAACATGTGATGGTTGATTGTGTTGGACCATTACCAAAGACAAAATCTGGTAACCAGTTTCTGTTGACGATTATATGTGTGGCCACCAGGTACCCAGAGGCCATTCCTCTGCGAAGGATTACTGCTCCGGTGGTGAGTAAAGCGTTGATCAAATTCTTCTCAACTTTTGGGTTACCTAAGGTGGTACAAACTGATCAGGGTACGAATTTCCTTTCTAAACTTTTCAAACAAGTGTTAAAATCCTTGTCAGTTACACACCGTGTGTCAAGCGCATATTGAACGTTGGCATCAGACACTGAAGTCTATGCTCCGTAAATATTGCTTGGAATCTGAGAAGGATTGGGATGAGGGAGTTCCTCTAGTTTTGTTTGCTGTCCGTGAGACAGTACAGGAATCCTTAGGGTTCAGCCCAGCTGAACTGGTGTTTGGACACACCATGAGAGGACCTATGAAAGTCCTTAAGGATCAGTTTTTATCACACGAGTTGTGTGTGAAAGAAAATGTGTTGGACTACGTTAGTCGCTTTCGTGAGCGCCTACATGGTGCCTGTGCTCTAGCAAAGGAAGCGCTGTCTTCCTCACAGAGACGGATGAAATGGCACTATGACAACCAGGCGGTTTCTCGTTCACTGCAGCCAGGTGACCAAGTTCTTGTATTGTTGCTTGTGCCAGGAGCGTCATTGTCAGCACATTTCTCTGGTCCTTATGTAATTGAAAAGAAACTAAGTGAAACTGACTACGTGATACAGACTCCTGATAGAAAATGCCAATCTCGTGTGTGCCACATTAACATGTTGAAGACATACCACACCAGACCCGTCACTCAGATAGACAGTCCAGAGAAACTGGCTGAGTCGGCTGTCTCTATTGCTGCTACGGCTGTAGTGGGAGGTCATGTTAATGATGTGGACGGAGATGGTTTGGAGTTGCGCAATACTCAGCAGCAGTGTGCTAGATTGCCCAATTCAGAGATGCTGCAGTCTCTCCCGTCAAGCCTGATTCATTTAACGGACGGACAGTCAGATGATATTGTGAGACTATTACACAGCTTTCCATGTCTTTTTAATGATGTTCCTACATGCACAAATGTGTTAGAACATGACATTAATGTTGAAAACGCTGCACCTATCAAGCAACATGCTTATCGTGTCAACGTCTCTAAAAGAAAGATAATGAGGGATGAGGTCGCTTATTTGCTGGAGAATAACCTGGCTATGCCAAGTTCAAGTCCTTGGAGTTCTCCGTGCATTCTGGTTCCTAAACCTGATGGGACATCCAGGTTATGTACGGACTATCGGAAGGTAAATGCTGTCACAGTGCCCGACTCGTTCCCGTTACCCAGACTGGATGACTGTATTGATACTGTTGGTGCTGCTACTTATGTATCCAAACTAGATCTTCTAAAAGGTTACTGGCAGGTGCCGTTAACCTCACGTGCCTCCGACATCTCTGCCTTTGTGACCCCAGACCACTTCCTACAATATGCTGTCATGGCATTTGGGATGCGGAACGCACCAGCCACTTTCCAACGCCTGGTTAACAGTATTGGCTGGAGTTCCTAATTGTAGTGCTTACCTTGATGATCTGGTAATTTATTCGACTGAGAGGTCTGATCATGTTAACACTAAGGGTAGTGTGTGAACGTCTAGCAGCCGCTTCTCTAACCCTGAACTTAGCAAAGTGCGAGTTTGGGAAGGCCACTGTTACTTATCTCGGTAAACAGGTCGGCCATGGTCAGGTGCGCCCTGTAGATGCCAAGGTCTCAGCTATAAATGCATTTCCCGCACCTACCACCAGAAGAGAGCTACGCCGCTTTTTACTACCGTAGTTTCTGTAAAAATGTCTCTGCGGTAGTTGCTCCATTAACGGATTTGCTCAGTCCGGCGAGAAAATGTGTATGGTCTGAAGATTGTCGTATTTTTTGTTAGCTCTGCAGTACTTTGAAGTTTATGTTGGTTCCAGTGCATTACCAGTGATAGTGTATACTGACCATAACCCCTTAGTTTTTCTCCACCGGATGTACAACCAGAACCAACGCCTTATGCGTTGGGCACTTGTAGTGCAAAATTATAATTTGGAGATCCGCCACAATAAGGGGTCGGATAATGTGTTGGCAGATGCTTTGTCTCGTGTTTAAAGAACTAGGTTTTTTGTTATCCCGTCAGGATGCGGTTGATCTTTGAATTTTGGGTGTTTTGATGGTACGTGTGTCGCAAACCATTGTGGTTTGCTCTTTTAAGGGTGGGAGTATTACGGATACAGGTATCCTGTGTCTTTTTGTGTTTTTCCTCTCCTTCTGCCCTAATCACAGGTGTCCTTTATGTTCCTGATTGGTGGTCGTTGGGGGTGTCCCACCTGTCCAACATCCGTTGGTCTGCTGATTGCTGAGGTGGACCTATCAGTGGACATTCCTCTGTATTGCACCACCTGTTTCCATGTCACGATTCTAATTTGCATGAATTATGTTACGGGTCTCTTGTCCATCCATCCTAGACGCGTAAAGCCACGGGGTTCGTAACAGATAGGATTACGAGTATGGCCAGGTCTGCACACCCCTAATTTGTATAATTGTGCATCACTTTCACAGACTCTTTGCTCAACTCAAATTAATGGTCTCCAGTGGATGAAGATCCCACCTGTGTGAGTTGCCTCCTGGCCAGACTCTAGGTACGCAGCAGGGTCGGAGCACTCCAGGGTGACCGTGGCAGCCATGGGGGCTGGCTCGGCCATGGGGGCTGGCTCTGCCAGTATCACTGCCACCAGCGGAGGCTCATCTGGGTCAGCTAATAGGGGCTCCTCAAACACTTTGTCTTCGCTGGCTTCACAGCCTGGATAGAGTAACACAGGAACAACCAACCAAGCAGTTAACATTAGCTAGTAGCTACTGTGATGGCTAAACAATACATGTTATGCAGTGGTAATCAGTTGATCTAGACATGGTCAATAGATGTAAAAATGGATGCCACAGAAATATTATTACTGTTAATATAAGATCTCCTACAGTGCAATCCCCACAAATAATTTAACATTATGAGCTGGGAATAATATGTAGATGTGTCAATCTGAATAAAACGAATTAACTGCCACGGCGGCTAATCTTAACGTCCGCACATTAAAATAAGTAATTATGCTAATTAAGGGTTAGAAGGAAGGATAGCTTGGTAATATTCATTGCGCTCCATCTGACTAAATTGATAACAATGACTCACCCCTGGCTGCATGTGCCGTGACGACAGGGGTTGTGTCCCAAATGGCACCCTATTCCCTACATAGTGCACTACATTTGACCAAAAGCAGTGCACTATGTAGGGAATAGGATGCCATTTGAGACGCAAACAGGGACACGGTAACGGGAGGACTATTCCCATCCGGTACTTAAAATGGCTGACCTTCTGGCCCAGGGTCAGTGGAGCTGCTATCGCAGCAGTCCTTCCATGGCTGGAGAGCAGGTGTGTCTGCAGTCCCAGTGGTGGTGTCCAGGTTAAGCATGTGATTGGCCCATGCTTTCGCATTGGGGTTCAGGTCAGAAACCTTGGCAGATTCCTGTTTCAGGTGACAAGATAGTATTATAAACATGAGTTCAGGTAGGCCTCCACGCTTCAGCAGAAGAAAAGGAACGTAGGAGGAGTGCTGCTGAACAACACCAAAGTACAGAATTATAAGCATACTGTAAGCATAGTGGAATATAGGCTGGATCAGGGAAGAGTGAGAAGGTTACCTCCAGGACAAGTTTTTGTCAGCTGTTCATTCCTATTTTAAGGCCCTGCCAGTCAACTTTGCCTGCTTGTAGTGTGACCATACAAATAGAAATGTGCAAATAGAAATTGCCACAAGTTAGTGTTCATCTCAGTACAGCCCCACATCAGCAAAAATGATCTCCATTATGAAGACACCACTATGCAAGCCGACAATCCCTTCTGGGATTGCTAGTTATCTAGTAGTCAGAGTTGGGGCAAGAGACTGCGTGAGAAAATGTTAGCAAAAATGTTTGCTAGTCGGTTCCAGAAGACATCATGGAAAACCCAAAACACACACAAATCAGTGTTTCCCCTTATATACATTTATGCGCATCGCCAATGCTATTGCCACCACACCAAAAACATGAATTTTTGGGATGGAAAAACACTTTCAGTGTAAATGACTAAACCCAGACAGAAATTATGTAGAAAAGCTAATTTACCTACAGTGAGGGAAAAAAATATTTGATCCCCTGCTGATTTTGTACGTTTGCCCACTGGCAAAGAAATGATCAGTCTATAATTTTAATGGTAGGTTTATTTGAACAGTGAGAGACAGAATAACAACAACAAAATCCAGAAAAACACATGTCAAAAATGTTATAAATTGATTTGCATTTTAAATGAGGGAAATAAGTATTTGACCCCCTCTCAATCAGAAAGATTTCTGGCTCCCAGGTGTCTTTTATACAGGTAACGAGCTGAGATTAGGAGCACACTCTTAAAGGGAGTGCTCCTAATCTCATCTTGTTACCTGTATAAAAGACACCTGTCCACAGAAGCAATCAATCAATCAGATTCCAAACTCTCCACCATGGCCAAGACCAAAGAGCTCTCCAAGGATGTCAGGGACAAGATTGTAGAACTACACAAGGCTGGAATGGGCTACAAGACCATCGCCAAGCAGCTTGGTGAGAAGGTGACAACAGTTGGTGCGATTATTCGCAAATGGAAGAAACACAAAAGAACTGTCAATCTCCCTCGGCCTGGGGCTCCATGCAAGATCTCACCTCGTGGAGTTGCAATGATCATGAGAACGGTGAGGAATCAGCCCAGAACTACACGGGAGGATCTTGTCAATGATCTCAAGGCAGCTGGGACCATAGTCACCAAGAAAACAATTGGTAACACACTACGCCGTGAAGGACTGAAATCCTGCAGCGCCCGCAAGGTCCCCCTGCTCAAGAAAGCACATATACAGGCCCGTCTGAAGTTTGCCAATGAACATCTGAATGATTCAGAGGTGAACTGGGTGAAAGTGTTGTGGTCAGATGAGACCAAAATCAAGCTCTTCGGCATCAACTCAACTCGCCGTGTTTGGAGGAGGAGGAATGTTGCCTATGACCCCAAGAACACCATCCCCACCGTCAAACATGGAGTTGGAAACATTATGCTTTGGGGGTGTTTTTCTGCTAAGGGGACAGGACAACTTCCCCGCATCAAAGGGACGATGGACGGTGCCATGTACTGTCAAATCTTGGGTGAGAACCTCCTTCCCTCAGCCAGGGCATTGAAAATGGGTCGTGGATGGGTATTCCCATGGGGCAGGGATGTAGCTCAGTTGGTAGAGCATGGCGTTTGCAACGCCAGGGTTGTGGGTACGATTGCCACGGGGGGCCAGTATGAAAAATATAAAAAATAATGTATGCACTCACTAACTGTAAGTCGCTCTGGATAAGAGCGTCTGCTAAATGACTCAAATGTAAATGTAAATATATTCCAGCATGACAATGACCCAAAACACACGGCCAAGGCAACAAAGGAGTGGCTCAAGAAGAAGCACATTAAGGTCCTGGAGTGGCCTAGCCAGTCTCCAGACCTTAATCCCATAGAAAATCTGTGGAGGGAGCTGAAGGTTCGAGTTGCCAAACGTCAGCCTCGAAACCTTAATGACTTGGAGAAGATCTGCAAAGAGGAGTGGGACAAAATCCCTCCTGAGATGTGTGCAAACCTGGTGGCCAACTACAAGAAACGTCTGACCTCTGTGATTGCCAACAAGGGTTTTGCCACCAAGTACTAAATCATGTTTTGCAGAGGGGTCAAATACTTATTTCCCTCATTAAAATGCAAATCAATTTATAACATTTTTCACATGCTTTTTTCTGGATTTTTTTGTTGTTATTCTGTCTCTCACTGTTCAAATAAACCTACCATTAACATTATAGACTGATCATGTCTTTGTCAGTGGGCAAACGTACAAAATCAGCAGGGGATCAAATACTTTTTTTTCCCTCACTGTATATATTTGTTTAAGAATATAATATTTGAGAACTAGAAAACCCCATAGTCAAGGAGAATACATTTTATAGAATTGCAGCTAAATCCAGCTAAAACTCTGACGCTAAATCCGGACCGATTTAAACCATGCCAACGGGCCGACCACGTCCATTACCACACCACAGGACAGGGCAACCACCTATGCCCCTTGTTGACCCCCCCGGATGGTCTTCAGAGATAGATGGGAGGGGTTGATGGTAGCTGAAGGATAGGATTAAAAACAAACAAAAGATAACTATTGTAAAATACTTTGTGTCTGTAAAATGTATATAGTATGTATAAGCTGGAAGTAGAAGCCTAAGTGTTATTGTCCATTAGTTTACCCCAATTAGGGGAGGGGTGGCAGGGTTAGAGGAAAATAATAACAAATAAAAAGATAAATAAAAGAAAAATCAGATAGAGCACAACTGCTTGGGATAAAGAGGAAACAGTACGGACATACTCACGAGAGCAAAGTAATTGTTCTGCCAATTGCATACACAAGAAGACTCACAAGCTATAAGACTGTAGCGGAGAGTTGTGGTAGAAGCTATACTACTAGAGCCCTGAAAGTCCTGAGGCAAAGGAGCATGTCTGTAACAGCTACTCTCCTCTGGTTGCTGTGAGAAAGGGTCCAGCGCTGCATCCAATCCAGCTCTGCACACGCCGGGCTCACAGTCATTCCACCTGCTGCTCACAGTGACGGTCCCTGTGGACCCTCCTCAACCACAGGCAGAGCCAACGTACAACAAATAGTCTACTAGTATCCACTGGGTATTCCCAGAGCTTTCAGAGCCTTCACACAGCACATTCAGCATGACCTGGTCCTCTCTCCTCCCATAGTAGTCACTGTGATCTCTCTGATGCTTCTGAGTCTGTGGTGGTCTGTCTGTGCTGTCAAACTTGCTCTGGGTCACAAGTAGTTGTGGAGCGGATAAGCGTCAGGTTGTCAGGGAATAAGCAATCTGATGAGAGAGACACGGCTGTGTGAGCTTCTGACGTGGCGGCTGCTGATTCGTCGCCGTCACCCATTTCCATTTCATGGCTGCTACCCTCTGTCATTCTCCCTCCATCAAACTATCAAAAACACATCACGGACGAACACAGACGGACTGAGTGATGGCTAAGGTGTTACGGTTAAATCCACCTGAGCCAAAGCTTACAGACAGAGGCAGCTTGAGGACTGGATAATCCACATTGTGTAGGCTAGGCTAATCCTTCTACAATCCACACCCAATAGGCCTTTATGTGTAATTTAGATAAGCCTACATTAAAGTAACACACCAATATCCATAATCTAGTTACAAGTTTACAGTCATAGTTGGTGCAAAAAGCCTTATTGGAAAACTATAGTAATGATTCTCATCTGTGGGCAATTCAAGAGGCTGTGAGTATCCAAGAGGAAGCTACAAAGTAAACACCTTTCTTCAGTTTGATACAATACAATAACGGAACAGCAACAAGCCCCTTTGCTTTTAATTGAGCGCTTCTGTCTGTTTGCCCGGGTCGTATTTCACAAACACTGCATTACAAGTTCAGTGGACTCTGTCCGGTCAAGCATACACAAAATACACACACCAAGACCGAGTCGAAATCAAAACCAAACGAGCCCCACTGAGACCAAGACAGGGAAAACGACAAGCCCATAATCCAGTCATGCAATAATGTAATACCCTCCCACTCTCCCGCTCACATCTGACCTGGCTGCTATAGAAACAGGGCAGACATCACTGACTACCGTGTCCAATGCTTCAGAGAATTTCAGGTCCGCTTGACCTTTCCCAATAAAATGCCTCGGTGCCTCCCTCCCTCCGTCGTGGAGGGGAGAGATTCACCTTTCCCCAGAAGCCTGATTGGAAAGGTTATTTTGGGGAGGATGTGAATCATAATACGTTTTTTTCACCGTCATAGAGTGAACAGAGCACACAGCATGGTTTTATTGCTCTAGTCAGACGGCCAGGGAAGCTTTCATTTGTAGACTGGGATATGTCAAAGTCCCTGAAAAATATACTAAAGAAAAACACAGTTTGGACTGATCCGTCCATCTATAGATGGGAAGCCTCTGTCACGTTCAGCTCCAGACCAAGGGAAGATAGACAGTGGACTGGAAATGTGTTGAGCTGAGCACCCAGGATCCAAATGAACCAGGGAAAAAAACGAAATGTCTATACAGGCTAGAACACTTTTACAATGCAAAACGATACTGGTAGCTTCCGGCTTTAATAGTAGGCCATCTTTCCTTGCTAGCTGACAGCTGAATTCACTACCCTAGTACTTTGTTTTGTGAGAATAGGCAAAACATAATGCAAAATATGCTGACTTCAAAGCTCATTGTCACCAAAAACTCATTCACTTCCTCGTTTTTCTTTGCCTCAGCTCTGGTTTCCACAAGATTCCATAGCCACATTCTGCCTTCTATAGTAACCCTAGGTGTAAAATAGTAAATAATGGCTATTTCTCCGAAAGTTTTAAACTGTCAAGAGGAGTGAAACAAGGTTGTCCACTATCGGCATATCTATTTATTATGGCCATCGAAATGTTAGCTATTAAAATTAGATCCAACAATAATATCAAGGGATTAGAAATCCAGGGCTTAAAAACAAAGGTGTCATTGTACACTGTTGATTCATGTTGTTTTCTTTTAAATGTACTATATTACGTATTGGATGACAAAAAAAGAAAAATTTTACATTACCATGTAGTTTACCAATAAAATGGTCCGACGGTGATGTGGATATACTCGGAATACATATCCCAAATGAAATAAATGATCTCACTCCAATAAATGTTAATAGAAAGTTGGCAAAAATAGATAAGATCTTGCTACCATGGAAAGGTAAATACCTGTCAATTTGTGGAAAAATCACCCTGATTAACTCTTTAGTATTATCCCAGTTTACCTATTTGCTTATGGTCTTGCCTATGCCTAGCGAAAAGTTTTTTAAATGATATTCAATTTTATTTGGAACGGCAAGCCAGACAAAATCAAACTGGCCTATTTATATAATGAATATGAATTCGGAGGACAGAAATTACTAAATATTAAAGCATTAGACCTATCACTAAAAGCTTCAGTCATACAAAAGTTATACTTAAATCCGAACTGGTTCTCTAGCAAATTAGTAAGATTGTCTCACCCAATGTTCAAGAATGGCCTTTTTCCCCTTTATTCAGATTACAACCTATCACTTTAAGTTATTTGAAAAGGAAATAATCTCCCAAATATCACTATTTCTAAAACAAACCATAGAAAGTTGGTTGCAATTTCAATTTAATCCTCCAGAAACAACAGAACAAATAATGCAACAAATATTGTGGTTAAACTCAAATATACTAATTGATATAAAAACATTATTTTTTGAAAAAATGTTTAAAAACGGTATAATCTTCGTAAATTATATCATAGGTAGGACTGGTGGTGTTGTCGCACATGCAGCTAACAAAAACATATGGAAATGTCTGCTCTACCCAAAATTACAACCAAATAATTGCAGCATTACCGCACAAATGGAAGAGGAAAGTGGAAGGGGGAAAAAGTAAAGAACTTGTCTGTCGGCCCTGCATTAAAGAACATAATTGGTTAAAGAAAATTGTGATAAATAAAAAAGTATACCAGTTTAATTTAAGGACCAAAGGATTGACAGCCGTCCCATATAGATTGCAAAATAGTTGGGAAGAGATTTTTGATGTACCGATCCCATGGCATAGTGTTCATGAACTGATGCGCAAAACGACGCCGTCATTCAAAACTTAGAATTTTTCAATTTAAATTATTATATAAAATTCTTGCTACCAATAGAATGTTATTTATATGGGGGATACAATCTTCCCAGCTCTGCAGATTTGCTGTGAAGAGACAGAATCATCAGATAATTTGTTTTGGTACTGTCCATTTGCAGCTTGTTTTTGGACACAGGTCCAGGAATGGCTAAAGGATTGCAATATTTCCTGGAGCTAACCCTGAAGATAGCACTACTGGGTGATCTGAAAAGTCATAGTCAATAATATAATAATACTTTTAGCAAAATGTTTATTTTCAATTTTCAATCTGTAGAAACAATGAAAATAGAAGGGTTCAGAACTTTTGTAAAACATCACAGTACAGTTGAAAAATATATGGCAAATATAAATCCAATATGGATGGTGTTAAGAGATAGATGGGTGGTGTTGAATGGAGTTGAAGGATGGGACTAATAACAACAAAAAGATAACTAATGTAAAGCATACTGTGTCCATATTAAGTATATAGGTTGAGAACTTTTGTGAAAGAGCACAGTTAGAAAGATATGGCATATAGAAGCAAACCGGATGGACATCATGAAAATGATCGGAGAGGTTGAGGGTAGAGGATGTTCAGGAATAAAAACAAACAAAATAGAATTAGTGTCCATAAAATGTATATAGTATGAATAAGCATTGTTGTTCACTAGTTTACTCCAATTAGGGAAGGGGTGGTGGGGTTGGAAAGTAATAAAGGGAAATATATATATTTTTAAAGGATATGTATGGATTTATATGTATGTATGTGTATATATATATATATATATATATATATATATATATATATATATATATATATATATATATATATAATTATTTTTGCGAGAAAAAAAACATGGGGGATTGGAAGTGATGCAGACAATTACATTGATGGAAGTTACAATCTGCAATATTAAAGCTGATCTACCCCCTAAGAAAAAAAAGAAAAACAAATGTGACTAAGTCACATAATGCTATTTTTCAAGCTATAGCACCCACAACTTTACATAAAATAGGTTTTTATAAGACCATAGAGTTCAGTCTAATTCGTGTATTTTTTTTGCCATGGAAAATCTTATCGTAGTATCGTGACAACCCTAAAAAGGCGCACACTTCAGTGAACGGCAGCAGCATTACACTCATTAATGTAACAGCTTTCATGTTTGGATAAGATATGTCGAACACATGGCTATAAATAGGTTCATGAATGTTCATATACACACAGCATATGGCACAGTAGCGCTGTGCAGAGAAGCACAGACTACAGAATGAGATGTTTAACATCAGACGCTACATGTTAACAAGCACATTGTAGTAAAGGTTATTATTTAATAAGGTGAGTGGTGGGAGGCATACATTTTCCTAAACAACAAAAGTGCCTGATTGAGACATGTGAATACCTCAAGACTCCATTGGGGACTTTTTCCTGCCACCAATCTTGTTTCCAATATTTCGGCATGTGTTAAATGATACTGGAAAAAGGCAGCAATGTCATTCCATTTCCTAATTTTGGAGCTTTGAGGGAAAAAGCTTTCCTTTTGGCCCTCCATTTAGGTTACTAAACATTATTTCCAACTCAAGTGAATGAAGACCAGGGGGAATCACAATGAATGTGTAGCCTACCTACATTCACCAACAACAAAAAAATCCATGACTATTGTGCCTTTGGGCTAAATATAATTATTATAATTCCCTCCGAAGCACCTCTCACTCACATGGCTCACTCAGATATTTCAATTCCTATTAGCCAATGCCGTCACATGATCGGGTCCTTCTCACAGGCAGCGCAGCTCCGAAGTAGGCTACAAGTGAAGACAGACACATAGGGGACGCAACGGCGCGCGTCCTTCATATCAAATTCCGAGGCACATATTGAAGATGTTAGAACTGTCCACATTTACTTTTTGTCAGCCAACAAGATTAGTAATGAACAGCAAAAGCACTACCCTATGTCAATCTACTAACCCCCATAGTACAAAAGTTGACCTATGCTATTGGTCAGCTTGTCCTTCTGTGCGAGAAATAAATATTCTAACATACTGTACTCTGGGACAGTTGTGGGACGCGATCGATCCCAAATTAATACAACCACTGTACATCTAAACAACTTTTAAAAGCAAATGAGGCTGATGCAACAGATCAGAACGTTTAGCTTAAAATGTTGATTAACTACAGTGAGGGAAAAAAGTATTTGATCCCCTGCTGATTTTGTACGTTTGCCCACTGACAAAGAAATGATCAGTCTGTAATTGTAATGGTAGGTTTATTTGAAC